TCAGCTGCCTGGTGGAGACAGAAGGATTCCCAGGAGCTTACTGCCCAGTCAACTGCTGAGATCTGGGTTCAGTGAGAGCTGCTGACATAAAACATAAGGTGGAGAGTGATACAGGAAGAAACTCGATGCTGATCTGTAGCCTCCACATGTACATGCAAACTCTTTCCCCTCTTCTCTCCCCTCCCCGACAAAACCCCCCGACAAAACCACAACAAAGAGGAAACTTGTAGTCATCAGGCTTTGGGTAAAATAGGAGTCCTGCCTGAAAAGAAATTAGACTAGTAGGGGAGTAGAAGTATACAAACAGCAAAACACAGGGAATGATGAAAATTTTAGAATAGAGAGTTTTTAGCAGAAAGAATAAAGGTAGGTTTTATAAATATTATAAATTTGGGCTTACATGATTGGGAGGATTATTTTTCTTTTTAAGAAGGCCTTCTTACTTACAGTAAAGTCCACCAAGTTTAAGCTGCAGTTTGTGATTTTTACTTGTATATAGTTGCAAAGCCAGCGTAATGATGAGGGCACAGAACCCTTCCTTAGACTGCCACACCAAACAGTGCTGGGGTGGAAAGAGATCAAATTTCAAACTCTGGAGTACAGTTCTTAGTGCACGTACGTGTATAGCTTTAGCAGAACAAGCTTTTGTTTTCTTGCATTTTCTCTGTTTATTTCTGTTATTATTTCCCTTTCTTAAACTTGATTTTCCATTTTCATTACCGTTTTGTGAAACTGAAGCTTAGACTGCAGATTGGCAAATATTTTCTGGAGAGGCTAGATAATAAGTATAGGCTTCACAGGGGATGCAGTCTTTGCATTCAGCTCTGCCTTGGTAAGAAAGCAGGTAGAGATTCAATGGAAATGCCTGGCCACAGCAGCAGGGGTCGTGCTCCCCCCCCTGCCCCCCCCCACCCCCGCCAGCCTAACCCTTCATTCTGCAAATAGCCTGCTGATCTCTGAGTCAGATAACTGAAGAAACAGTTTTTCTGATTTTTAAAAACTTTATGATTTTGACATTTACTTTATAAATCCCAGCAACCTTAAGGCCATTAACACTGGTCTCTGTGTTTGAAGACTGAACTGATATTTAGCATTCATAATCTACTTTAAGATAATTTTTGTTCACTGTGAGGTGAAAGAAAAGGTTGTGTTCCCCAGCTCACACAGCTGATT